AAATTTTAAATATATAGTAAACTTAAAAAATTTAAATTTTAAGATTTGGACTTAAAGGTTTTTATATTTTTTAAATACATGGATTTTCTAAATGCATAGCCAAACTCATACTGTATAATACTTATAAATTTTATTTTTCTAAATGCAATATCTCTCTAAATACAAGAATTTTTTGGCCGTTCCACGGCTATGCATTTAAAAAGGTCTAACTGTATATTATATATACAAAATATATATTAACCAATTTATTTAAAATTACTATTAATAAACCAAGCCAAAACACAATATTTATAATTAAAATTTCTAACAAAATACTTTTAATCAAATCAAAATATTTAAATAATAATAAAATTATTAATGGTTGTCTTCTAAATCCAATTTTAAATCAATATACTAAATCATTAAATCAATTATTTCAAATTTTAGCTTTATAACTTAATACGTATAAGAAAACCATTAATAAATAAAAGTTTGTTTTTTTTTAAATCGTAATTTATCATTCTATCAATTTATTTACCCAATTCATCTGAACCAAATATTATAACTTCAATATTCAAAGCATCATATTGATCATCACATGAAACCTCGAGGTTGATAGTATCTTTGCCACCTGCTTTTTGCGCATAATCACTTGGGCGATAAACTAAAGAATTTAACAAGTTATTGATATCCATCATGGTTGGTTGATTAATCGTCATAGAAATTTTACTCAAATTCCCACCCTGGAGATTGAATGAAATCTTTCCGTTCTGTGCACTAACATTAATGGTAGCTTTATTAATTTTAGAAGGACCACCTCGTACAAAAATTACATTTAAACCTTGAAATTGTCCATTTAATGATCCTGAATATTGCGTTAGTTTTTCTGCTGTGGCCGTTGAAACATATTGATATGTTTTAGGACCCTCTAAACGTAATGAGTATGATTGCTTACGATTTATAGAATCTGGGTTTCCATCTTTTACCAATGGTGCCGATGGATGTGGTATATCTAGTGAAAATTTTTTTATGAGCAAGTCAACAACGCTACCTTCCTCGATCAATTTAGAATTTGTCGATTTGCCATATAAATGAATACTCCAAGATTCCTTTTCAATTTTTTGTAATTCTCGACTCGCAATGGGATCATGGTTTAGCAAGTTAACAATCTGAATGTAATCACGAGGGTAAAGGATTTGACTAGGAAGTATTGTAAGTCCATTTTCTTCTAACACTTTTCGATATTTTTTTACATATTTTGTGAGTGCACGAGGACCTAGGCAGTTGAAACACGAAGTCGGAATAGGTTCTGAAAGTGCATTTTCAATATATTCTCGGAACATTGCCCATCCTTTACGGAAACGCATAACTCCGTTCGGTAAATATGTGCCATTTGTGTCCAATGTCCATTCAAGATCTGCGGCCATACTAGAGAAGTCTGAACCAATAAATTCCATCTGAGTATTTGGTGGAGCACGGACCCAAAGTGCGTCCATATCCATATACATTCCACCATATTTATATAGGAGTACACACCTCATATAATCGGCAAGATAATAAGGGAAATATGGAGCTTCTTCCCAATTTTTCCAATCTAATATCCGGTTTTTGGAATTTATACCAAGAAACCATTGTCTTTTTAGTAATGATTTTTGATCGAAATTAATTACATAAATTTGGTAACCTTGCTTTTGATAATCATCAAAAAATTGGTTTGGAAGTGTGTTTGTTACAACAAAAATAATTGCCTTCGGAGTGTGGACCCAAACGAGTTCAATCGTTTTGTAATGCCGTTCTTGAAAAGTTGATGGATCTGTTGTCCAGATCATCCAATGTAGTAAATACCATTGATCTGTTTGTGAATAAACTGATGAGTGTTGAGAGAGAACACCAGGTATTATCCATTCATCCTCTTTACTTCCCATTATTGCATCTACTGACTCATCAAATACTAATGAAGATTCCTTTGGATTAACCACTAAAAAATTTGTTTGGTGGAGTAATGTAATACCTTTTACATTGTCACAATCAAAATTCCAATCTTTCCAATGGTTAGCTCTTCCAGCGCATGGATAACACAAAGCACAAAAATGTTGCCTAAATCCTTCACACAAACGCCTATTATTGATGACGTTTTCATACATATCAATCATACTTCGGTCAGGTTCATAAGAATCACTGAAATGTTTTGCAATCATATCATCTTCGCACACATCTGCTTGTTGAATACGTTTATCATGAATAGGTTTAATGTTATAAGGAAAGAGCCATATGCCCAAATTTTGATCTTCATTTTTAGTGAAAAGGCGTGGTGCATCTATAACAACTAGTGAAATAATGTCACGGGATAAAATATAAAGTGCACCGGCTGTGAAAGGTGGAAACATGGGCAATGGGTACTCAAGTTCAGAGTTCTTATTTGCAGTGTTTTGAATCGGAGGAATATTCCTATAAGATACAAATTTTAATTAATTTTAATTTAATAGTTAAAAAAAAGGCGAAATGCAATTAAGATGTCCGAGAGACGACCTTTACCAATATCCTAGCCCTTTCCAATAATATTTTTTTCCGGGACCCAATTCACCCAATTCTCGTATGACAGTGTCAATACGTATAAACATATCATCATCTGTTTTAATCAGGTAATCAAACTCATGATTATTCGCCCATTCGAAACCCTTATAAACCTTGTGACTAAGATCATTATAAAGATCTGATGATGACACAATGACCATATCACCATATTTTTCCGATTCGGCTAAAATTTTTTTCCCCATAATTTGCTGCATTTTAGCAGTAGGTTGGACACCGAGAATGAAACGGTAGGCGATAGAAACTTTATTAGAATTCTGAGGAATTAATTTTATTGATGTATCACGAAATTGTTGTCGTTTAAAATAACCTCTCTCGGTCCAGGATGACAATATTACCATTATTACTTTAATTTCAGCGTCAGTATTAATTTCGCTAAGTGACAAATTTGCGTTCAATTTGTAGTTGACAGGACTTGTAATGGCTCTATGTCGGAATTTCGATTGCTGATGGAGGAGGCACATCATAGTAATAAATGAAGCAATTGCTAAAGGAAGTATAATATATCGCAAAATTTCTCTCAATGTCATTTTTGATGCTTCAGGATCACCAGGCTTATAGTGCTTTGCGGTTGATGTAAATAGCCATTGGATAACGTTACTAATAGCTAAAACAATACTACATATAACCCAAGTCCAAACTGGTTCATCATGTCCGTAATTTGAGATTACAAAAGCTGTGATAACCCAATTAATTGCTTGCAAGGAAATGAGGCGTATTATTGCGCTGGTGATTTCATAATAAAAGAGCCATCGACGCATAAGTCCATCTGCCAACCAATAACTCCAAAGACCGGCCAAAAGGCACTAAAAATGAGCAACCGAAAAGTAAGTTGACGCAATTAATTGTAAATTCATCCGGTTTTTTCCACTTGGTTATGAAACTTGGTATAGATCGTATTTGATTCTTAAATCCTGAAACTTATTTAATTAACATAAAAGTTCAAATTGTTAATAGCAATAAAAGATAAATACCAAAAAAAAAAGAAGCTAATTAGTAATATTTCATAACCGTGATACGCACTTTACACAATCTAATCATCGTTATAGTTGTTTATAAACATACTACATGATCTGGATCTCTCAGGTTGATCAAAGATCAGTTATCTGCAAGTTGTAGAATAACAAATACTTACCCACATAGCACCAAGCCAATAATCCAATTCGGTACTCAGTTCCAATACATTGTCTGCAGGTGCTTTGCTGGCAGCATAGATAAAGGAAATAAAACTATAACCGGCTGGAACTAAACTAAGGCCTCGAAGTAAAAATAGAATATTATGAAGTCTACGAGGCACTCCGATTCCTATTGGACGACTCAAGCCAATTCCTATTGTATTTCTGACAGTTGGGAGATGTGACTACTTTGACCAAAAATATTTGAAATTAGTGAGAATTTCAAATAACAATGCCAAATATCAAAGATCGTAAAGCACATGAATGCATCGTTACCATATTAGAATTTCGGCTAGCTCGTACGAACGTAGCAGCGCTTAATTAGATGATTAAAAGTGCGTCCGTTAACTAATGGACAACAGATTAGTACGTGAAGCTGTTTAGACAAAACCTTTGTTCTATTGGTTTTTTTTCGAAAGAAAGAAATTTGATTTATGCCATTTAAGGATTGAGTTTACAAATAACCAATTATTGCCGAGACAAATCGGCATGTAGTAGATCAGCAATACAATTCATTTAAAATCACGTGCATGTAAAAGACTGTTTCTTAGCATATATATGTAGCGGTAGTATTTCATTATACGAACAATTGTTATTAATACATTATAATGTTTTTAACTATGTTACTGTACGTATCCAAAATTAATTGGGTGTGTAGTGGTCTGAATAAAATGGGTTATGCACCATTATTATACAGCATACGCAACGATAGATGCTATGTATGTTTTTTATATCATATCGGCGAATTTGCAGAATTGACCTAAATTAAGGTCCATATATTTTAACAATGCGATTGTAAAAATTTCAGCTATTATGCATTCTGCAATTGTTAAATCCAGGGACCCGAATTTAGATCCATTCCGCAAATCCGCCGATATGTTATATCTTAGAAATTTTATGCTACGTACGTACGTACGTATAACCCGATATTTTTTAAATTCCTTCCTGTGAAGCTAGTATTATATATTTCAGTATTTATACGTAACGCCGTGCAGAACACTTTAAACCAGGGAGTAATATTAATTTTTTTAATTAAGTTTCGATGTTATAGTTAAGGTTAACCTGGTACGTACGTACGTAATTAGTCAAATAAAAAAACGCTTTAATTAACGTTAAATTTAATTAAAAGTTAAAGTTATGTAAAGTTACACAGTCGCCCGCACGTGATATGATCAGGTAATGTAATTAAAAATTATAATTTTTTAAAACTTTATTCTTTAGCAGCCACCTAACTACCGTACAGCGCTGCATAT